GAATTGTATATTTTAATAAAATAAATATATTACATCCTTAATGATTAACTGACACACTTTGAATAAACACATACATGTAAACTTGAGCTAGTACACAAAACGTCCATGCCAGTGAAAGTATGAACTTCCCTTAACTGTCCAATTTTGAAAGAGAAAAGTACTTGGTATGAAGCCATGTCTGGAAAACATATCCTGGAACTGGGACCAGAAAACCCTGTAAATCTTCAGAATATTTTCAGACATCTTTAATTGTCTTTGGATGTGATTGTGTCACCTTCAAAAATCCTCTCACTCCAAAGATATAAATCTCATGCCTTTGACGTGAAATGAAGATCCCTAGTAGGATCAATGTTAATTCAACCAAGAGGCAGCTTCAAATACTTTCAAAATAGTACACTTACTGTAGGAATAAATGTTGTACATGGTGTATTTTCAAAAAAAATGTGATTTTGATTTGGAGAAAAGAAACAAGTACAGTTCATGTATAGTATACTGTACATGTACATGTAGGGTGAAGAAACTAATGGAAGTTTAACTATTTTCCCTCATCTCCCATCAAACCTATAGACCACATGTACTATATGTCCATGGCAGAGCTGTAGCCAAATGAATATCAAATTAATAAGAGAATTTAGCCAAGGACATTATCTCCATCATAGTTTTTTTTTTCTGGCTACAGCCCCGCATGGACAGCTGTGCCTGCAAACAGAGAACATTTTAGGAACTTGCACACATTCAGGTATAATTGTATGTATGTCTTCTGTTAAGTACCAGCACCTGTTAGTGGTAGCTTCTCTTTTCTTTGTATAATGCTGCCTTTACTCTTAATGGGTAGAAGGGCTCTTTCATTGTGATCCTGGTCTGCTGATGCTGTTCTTGGTCTCTTCTCATAATCAGCCTCATCTTCCTCTACGTTCTTTCTTTTCCTTTTCTTTCCAGTACTTGAAACTCTTTTTTTTTTTTTGGAAAAAAAAAACAAACAAACAAACAACAACAACAAAAAAAAGAATTAGCCATCAAAAAATTTGAATGATCTTTCATACACTCAGATTCTCACTTTGCTGCATAGCAAATAATGTTATGTTCACATGGCAAGTCTCTAGTCCAAAATGAGGCTCCTAATACCAGAAATGAACTGCTTGTACACGTGATTAAAAAAAATTTAAGATTATGTTCTTGGCATTTCTTATTATATAAGCTTAACCTGTAATACATGCCTAGACATATTCAAATAGGGTCAAATTTAACTCAAAAATAACGCTGAGCTGCACTGAATTCGAACTGAATTCATCCAAACAACATCCAACAAATCTTTGAATGCTGTGGCTAAATGTCTGGCAGCCGAACAGGTTTTTTAGAATACTTCATGTCCTCCGTGTCCATGCCCGGTGGTGAAATTTTTTTATGAAGTAAAACAACGTAAAAAGAACTTTAAGACAGGCGACCCCAAGAGGAATCGAACCCTGGTCGCCGGCATAGCAAACGATACTTGTGACCACTGTGCCACGGCAACCGGCCAGCAATTTTCGGAATTTTTCAAGTATTTATAGAGTTACCCTTAGTATTATTGAAAGCTAACCGTAAACAGGCTAACCGGAGAGCTATTTAGGCTTTAACTGGAGTGCTATTCAGGCTAACCAGTGTCCTTTTGAGGCTAACCAGAGTGCTTTTTAGGCTAACCGGATTGCTATTCAAACGTTTTGACTGCCGGTCACTTTATAACAGTCTACGTTATAAATACCGACATACCGGGTGCCGGGCTCACCAAAATTAGTATTCGGCCATATAAACAAGGATTTGACATTATTAACTGAAATTTTCAAAAAAGAATTTTGACTGCCGGACACGGAGTATTTTGAAAAACCTGTCCGGCTGCTGGACATAGAGACACGGCAATCTTCGCAATACAAAACCACTCTCACTGGAACAATGTGTACCTCTTCCAAATGGGTTATTCTTACAAAAAGACTTACTCTGCTGTTACTTGTTGCAAAAAAGCAAAACTCCTTCGAGAATCTTGAAAATACTCCAAGTCTTCGGGATCGAGGGCATCATTGTCTTCCATGGTCACATAATCTTCGTCCTCTGGAGGTGAATTTCCTGTAACTTTGCGCGCCTGTTTGCCTTTTTTGTTTCCTCTTCCTTTTGCCATTGTAATATTCTATCTCCTTCATAAGAGTATATTTCAAAAAGGTCTATTCTGATCCGTCTAAATAGGAAGAAAGCGTTCAGTTCAGTTCGTGCAACAGTTCGTCCACCATCTTGGATATGAGCCTTAGATGACACCACGTGCACCCCAGCGTACAACCATGCCGCCGACCGTGCGTCATATATAGTTCCTTAGAGTGTCCCTCGTTGCGTGTTGCACTATAACCTGAGGAGTGGAGGTGGTGCTGTGCAGGTATGAGCGGCATAAAAATCGTTTGGAAATGAGCCGACAAGAAGCGACTTTTTAAAGCCCTTTAAGATTTTCTGATCTAACATTTTGATATGCACTTCACCTAGATTTTTTTTGAACTACCTGCCGAAATTTGTTCACTGCCTCTTTTTGTTTGAAGTAGCATTCTATGATCATGTCAGTAAGTCAATGAAGAAAAGTAGCAAGGGGGAGGGCTTATATCCGGAGGTTTATGTGCGAATTTTTCTTTCTCAGAGACGTTAAGTATGTCATGATTGTTGAACTTATTTTGCGGTTCAGATCACAGGTGACATCGGTATCTTCAGATACTATTTTTAACATGTCCTTGAACGGTGTAATATTAGCTAATATTTATCTTTTACACAGCTCACAATTTTTCAAATACTAGGTCACTTCTAAATATAGCCCGTCCTCCCAGGCGTGTTCGAAAATAAGCCCACCATAAAAAACCGTCTAAACTAAAATATTACCGAAATTGACGTATAGACAACTCTGGAGTAGTTGCAGATTCATTTTATCTGGTTGGGAATTGTACTGGCCAAGTTTCAACTTGTAAATATAAAAACACTTGCATTAGCGTCACAACCCATGCCGTAAATCATCAATACTTCTGACGCAATAAAAGGGAAAATCCCCATCATGCCCCTTCCTATATTTAGTACTAATTTTGACAGCTTCACTACAAAGCAACTCGACAAAGCACTGGACATCGTCCTATGCACGTATGCAGAAGAGACCAAAAGAGACCAAAGGTACATCCTATGTTTCTATGCTTCCATGTTTCTGATTCCAAACAAAGACCAAAGGGTTGTTACTTCCTCGTATATAGAGAGTTTATCTCTTTCAGGTCCTTGGTTTCCTTAATTGGGGTTCGGAACGTGCCGAGGCATATTTGCAGCTGTCGCAGAAAAAATGTGATTGTGGATGCAAATTTGAAAAGGGAAAAACCCCTACTGGCTGTCAGAGGTATGGTTACAGCATGAGACGATGATCGTCTCTTGGCTTCAGTCAGAGGGATGGAAATTTAGAGAAAATAAGCCCAGCAAAAAGGCCTTCTAAACAAAAAATATTACCGAAGTTTAAGTATGGACATACCTGTTTGCTGCAGATTCATTTTATTCAAGTTAACGAGTAAATATAAAAACATTTGCCTAAGCGTGACAACCCACGCAGTAATAATGTGACGTAATAAAAGGGAAAAACCCATTCGAGCTTATATTTTGACAGTTTCCGTACGGAGCCAGTCCACAAAGCATTGGACGTCGTCGGATGCACTGCAAGAAAAAGAAACCAAAGGTACGCTGTATTTTTCTATGCTTCTATGGTTCTGATTCCAGACAGAGAGCAAAGGGTTGTTATTTCCTCATATAGAGAGTTTATTTTTTTTTCAGGTCCCTGGTGTGCTTAATATTTTCTGACTGATCCTAGTTAGATCACATTAGGTCGAATTCTAACGTAATCTTCGCCTTTGAATCTATCGACTGCTTTGAATGTTTTATTAACCCGTGTTACAGCCCGAAGGACAAAATCGGGGAGAACCGCTCTCTCCCACATTTTTTCCTCGGGAAGAGCGGTTATTACACAAGCTACGTTTTATTAGCAAAGATATTCCAAATTATTTTGATGAGTATTGTTTTCCCAAAAGAGGATTCGCTTCGGTAAGGGTGATTGTCGTAAAACGGATTCATGGAACCTTCGCCTTTGTAGGACATTTCCTGTGCGGGTTTTGTGCCATTTTGTTACGGTAAATATCGAGACTCCTTTAACCCTTACAGGAGAGTCTACTGACGGCATTTCTGTGTCTATTTCATTTCAGAGGCGCGCTAAGAATAGAAACTACCGACTGGTGAATCAATTCTAAGATTGCCGAGGTAAGAATTTCAAACATGTACTTCACTACAAATATGATTCCATTTACACTTCTAAGTCTTTGCAGATCACATGTTCTGAAAAGTATCTGGATCTGGTTTGATACGAGGTTCAAAGGTGTAAAGTGCTTCTCGTGAAAGTTTCTCTTAAATTTTTATTTGGGGTTCGGGACGTGCCGAGGAATATTTGCAGCTGTCGCAGAAAAAGTGTGATTGTGGATGCAAATTTGAAAAGGGAAAAACCCCTACTGGCTGTCAGAGATATGGTTACAGCATAAGACGATGATCGTCTCTTGGCTTCAGTCAGAGGGATGGAAACTGAATTTTTAATACAGAAGAGCTATATAAACCACTCGTAAAAACTGACAGTTATGTTCAGTGAAAAAAGGATTGGAGTTATTTGACTCAGTTCGATATAAATTTTCGATAACATCTGAATTTTTTAAAATGTGTTGAACTGACTGTTTTCGGTTTCGATATCAGTTGTTCACTGGTTTTTCTGCTTTTTTTGTTTTTGTTTTTTTAAAAATTGCTGAGTTATCTGTTTTCATCAATTAGGGAAAGTCCCTCCGTCGAAGACGAGACACGCCACTGGCTATTAATTAGAAACAGAATCACGCGCCAGGCATGAGCTATATACAGCTGAATTTTTACGAAAGCTATATAAACCATTCGTAGAAGCTTACAGTTATGTTGAGTGAAAAAAGAATTGGAGTAATTTGACTCAGTTCGATATAAATTTTCGATGACATCTGAATTTTTTAAAATGTGTTGAGCAGGCTGTTTTCACTTTCGATATCGGTTGTTCAGTGATTTTTGTTTTTGTTTGTTTGTTTTTTTTTTTTAATTTTGCTGAGTTATCTGTTTTCATCAATTAGCCGGGAAAGTCCCTCCGTCGAAGACGAGACACTCCATTGGCTATTAATTAGAAACAGGAACACGCGCCAGGCATGAGCTATATACAGCTGTTTTGTGAAAGGTTGTCCTACAAAAGCGTATAAACGTAAGCGACAATGTCGGAAGGTATTATGGGTGATGGTGGCTAAAGGGGTTTCAAGGAAACAGCTCAAACACGTGTATTCATGCTTCCCCTTATCGCTGAAACACCGTGAACCTCAACCGCTACCCATAATACCAATCGGTATTATCGTGTTCACTTTTGCGCTTTTGAGAGACAACTTATCAAAATAGCTGTCAGTCTATATATCTGACTCAAACATAAAAAATGCACTTCGATATACAATTGTAGACGGTTTAAAGGTTTCTATCGAATTTAAAGTGAAGCCTGGTGACCCTATCCGCAATTGTGAGACAATTTTTTGGACAGAACGACCCTTTCTCTTAAAATCGGTAACCTTGATATTTTAGACCATTAGTTATTCCTACACATTCAAGATTTCTTAAAATTACATCCAGAATTAAGCATTCACTGGCTTCGACATATGTCTCCTCATACTTTATTCTATTCCATACTAAAGAGGACATTAACGGTCCTTGTCAATGACATGGCATTTGACTAAACCATAGCCAAAACAGTACTGTGTCCCTCATGAGGTGTAAACAATGTAATGCCCCCAACACCACCTGTTCAACTCTTCCGTTTATCTCACTCGCTCTGCCTCAATCAAATGCTACTTGGCTTGTCAAACCAACGCTGGTTTGATACGACATTTCTAATTACCATTACTATCCCTATCTCTGTTATTTTTTAGGTCTGTGGCTTTGTTTTGGATTCAATACTACAGAACAAGGAAGTACATACGCATATGTGTTTCACTACATTAGCTTTCTTTTCAACTGTTTTTTTTTTTAAGAGTTTTGAGTTGATTATCTGAGTGTACCCTATAAAAGAACCTGCAGATCTTGAGCAGACATTTATTCTTTGAATAAATGTACATTTTCAGCTTTTTCAAGTTAAGGCAGCAGGCAGTGTAAAGACGCACTTTAAACATGAATTGATTAAAGACGGAGAAGAAATAGAGAAAATTGTATGACGCATAAACTGTGGGCATAGAGAGTGGGTGGCACTGACGTAAAATGTATGTGACGTTCGTCTTTTCAGAATTGGAGGTTTGCACAAACCACAGAGAACTCATAATGCTCACTATGATGTCAATAGGCGAATTATCACAGGAATCACTCGAAGATCTCTACAGCGCCCTCGAAAGAGTATCAACCTTGGGCTGGAAGGTGCTTCTGTCGAGATGGTTCAAATCACTTTATTCTGAAGATGATGTAGCTATGATCGAGAACAGTATCTGTCCTGCCAAAGCTTTGTTAGATGATCTGACTTACAGAGGAATAACGCTGCAAGATCTGGTGGAGGGACTGGAAGCCATAGGGAACAATAGGGCCGTTTCAATAATCATAAAAGGTGATAGCGATTTCTTTTTTATAATTCCTTTCTTTCTTTCATTATGCATACGTTTTTTTTATGTATAAATTATGAATAACATGTTAATAAAATGTCCGAGATTCAATCAAGCTAACGTTTAGAAACAGGAGTTAAATTTTCCACGCGAGTACGAAATGTAATTGTCGTAGCCTCGTTCTTTTGCATATTTATCCCCGGGATTTATGCAAGGTTCTCTGGAGCTAAAGGCGTCGATAATGGATATGATTTAAACTCAGTATAAAGTCAGAAAAGGTTGGGCTTTTTTTTACTAAGTCAATAAAGTGCATTGATTGTTCGTGAAATATAAATTAAGAGGTAAAATCCGACAAGAGAAAAAAATAATAGCTACCTTCCCAGATACTTTCCGAATATGCATATAGTAATATCAACTTCTGGTGTAATCCATCTCTTTTTTTCCTTTCATCCTTGATGCATTGTCTTACATATAAACTGATCTTATATTTGCCAACTGTTCTTGCCAGGAGCTCAGAAGAGTGGCCTTGACATGCAGTATTCCGGTCGTCGCCCTCCTCCTCAAGTCCGCAGTACTGGAAATCCACAAGAGGTACAACTTTTAACAACCTTGGGTTATAAATATTTCCACGGATTTCTAATAATCAAGTACTTTTGAAAAACTTTTTAAATAATTGCCTTCTAAGTATTGCTGTAGGAGTTCCCTGACTCGGTTATGAACTCTTACAGTTGTTTCAGTTATTTGTTTACCTGCTTTTTAGCTGTTTGTCTTTAGAGGTATTGTTTGTATTGCGGTAGTCAACTGCATTTTCAATGAAAACCTTTGGATTAAACGTTTTAAGGCATGCAGGAGAACTTTTGCTAGTTTATCATTACTCATATAACTGTTGTGATTAAGTTATAGTTAATCTTTCGGTAAAAAGTTTATTTACTCTTTTGATATGTTTAGACAGAACTGAATGCACGATGAAGCGATTTTCGTTTAAATGTGTGCTTTTTTTTCAGTTGATTTATGTTCTGTTTAAGTGATAACAATAACGAACAGATAAGGTTGTTTCTCTGTGCGATGTTTTTCCCTCCTCCCCAAACGATGGATGGACAAATCAAAAAATACATATATTTTAGTCGCTAAATTAGCTTGCATTGTATTATTTCCCACTGGAATAACCTGATCTTTATAAATCATTCGTTGTGAATATCACACCAGTTGACGCTGACCAATTTAGTCGAAGCGCCTAACATTTTATTCGTTTTTTCACAGGCTTTTTATTTTGTTTTATTTATTTCTTTTTCGTTGATGAAGTTTTCTACAGCTTTTTTCTCTCTTGTTTTAAACTGGTATTCCGCGTGCCTCAGTTTCTTGTGACTAAACTCGATCAGTTGGTTGCGGCTCCCTCCACTATCCATTTGTTTGTTGTTTGCGTTCTATTTGGAGGCAATTAATCATTTCAAGGTCAAATGAATTGCTCTCTTACCAGCCACACACAGACACACCCGCACAGGAAATAAATCTTTCCAATCCATGTCGAGTGAACTAAATCCGGCTCACGTTACATGCCGTCTTGTGACACAATAGTAAGCCTTAAGAGAGCATGTTTATAAAGCTTAGTTTGTAGATAGTTTATTCTAGAGAAGCTGCTATTACCCTGTCCAAAGGATGACGATGCGGGTTAAATGTTTCGGCTTGTTCCCTTCATGGGAACAAGCCGAAACATTTGGCCTTCAGCGATCAATATACACATGGATCAAGTTGAAGAAGATATATAGTCCCTCTGATAATTAACTGGTTTTAATGTTAGTTGCTGATTCAGTAGTTATCATCTAATGAGTACCTAACATCTTTTTAGAGATGCCAAATATAATATTAGCCTGTGTCAGAGCCGCCCTCTCCGAAAGAAAAAATCGGAGAGAGGGTCCTCTCCGATTTTTGCCTTTGGAGAGGGTGGCTGTGACACAGGCTAACATCATATTATATTAGTTTTAATAGGATATTGGTAGCGTCACGATTCCACTGAAGTAGTAAATAATTGATTTTATGAAATAACTGAGATACTACGCGCGTGCTCATTGGTCAATAGGTGTGTTTAGATGAGAGTATGTAAACGCGGTTGTGACGTTTTAGATTCGCGCGTATTCTTGAAGAACTATTTTATAAAAGCACTGGAGTACTTCTTCCGTGTTTACATAGCCTCATCTAAACACTTGGGGGTTGGGAGAATTCTCTAAAGGGAGTTACTCCCTTATATGGGCTATATACGTATGTGCGGCCCCAGAGGGTATGGTTTTTCACGTGGTTTGGTCATAAATAGGGTATCGAATTTGGCAATTTCAGTCATATGGTATGGTTTTTGCACCCTAGTCTTGAATTAGATATGTTTTTAGAAGAAGCTACTTTTTCATTTTTAACGGATAAGACCGTCAACAAAAGCCCTTCATATGTTATTTTTAGGGTAACTGTGCCATTTCCGTGACCTTCCCGATACGGGCCCTTTGTTCCATCCCATCAATGTCCGAATGGCTAAGGTCTACATTGTTCGTACAAAAAGTCTCTCCTTGTCTAATCATCTTCTTTTTTTTTCTTTTCTGCATGTCTGACACAGCAAGAAGACTCAGTCAAGTTTTCACCGTACGCGGAAGAAGCCGAAACATTACATAGTTCAGTTCAGGTATCAGAAGCAAAAGAAAGCGCCTGCCATTCTTCTGACCCTGGATTGCATACTTCATGCTTGGGAATCGTGCTTTCCATAGTTTCCTCCTGGTTTCCATTTCATTATAGCAAAGCTTGAGCGGACGATGTTACTTGTAAATACTACGACATTTTTCGCGTACGTAGTATGCTTGACAAGCTTGATTAATATTAGTGTTTTAATTAAGTTTACGTTACTTTTTTTCTTATTTTTAGTGTCTTCATTTAGTAGTTCTTGTACTTCTACTTCAGTTTAAAACTTGAATAAGGGCTTTATTACTATTATTACACTGGAATGGAAAGATAGTTGTAACTTAAATTCACACGAAACAATTAACTTGTAGTAAGCTTATGCATGCCGCGGGAAAAAAAATTGTTTTGCCTTAATTGGCCCCAAGTTGATCAGAAAGAAGTTTTTCTTCCCAATTTTCCTTGCCTAAGTGGAGAAGTGAATTTCAACAGCTACGACAATTTGATAGTTAGTTGGTAGTCAGTTTTATGCAAATACAAACTCAATATTTACAAACTATATACCTAGATCTTTCCTAATCAGCTCATAGCATCATCTACCATATGCAAAATTAAATGGGCGAGAACTAGATAGAGCGCATTACAGTGCTGAAGTTATTGAAATGATATTGTTAATTAGTAGTTAGAATATTATCACTGATCATCAGTTGTAAACTGATAAGTTAAGGGGATTAATAAATGAATAAATAAATTATAAAACGCCTTTTTGAGGAGAGAATTTCCCAATATTTTTAAACATAGAAAAGCCATTAACCATGGTAATCACCTGACTATCTGTAATATCGTGCAACACCTTGTAGTGAGAGCTATATGAAGTTGTAAGTAGTTAATATTACGAAAAGGAGTAACTGACTTGTCTATGATGAAAAAGGTTAGAACAGCAATGAGGTCACTAGCAGCCAATAGGGATATTAGTAAAATTTCCAAGGAAATTTGCCCCGTTTCGAAAGTTCTGGAATTGGTTGAATGCAAAGCGCCCATAATCAACTGAATTGTGAAGTTGGCGTACGTATGTAGAATAGATAAAATTTTAAAACATCATGAAAACAGATTTAGACTGAGTTCTTGTTAATTGCGAACTGAGAAGCGAAGGGACTGGGTAAGGTTGTCGAAGTAGAAGAGGCTTCATAGTTTACGTCGAACGTCGAAGGAGTTGCAGCCTGGGCCAAGAATGCCGGCGCAAGTAATTCTGGGATTATTTGGGAGGAAAAAACAAAACAGAAGCCGTGCATGCGAGGAGCCATAAGTAAATGTTAGCTGATAAAGACCTCCCGGGGGCAATTACTCTCTGAGAAAAGCCAGACGGTTGGCTTTTGTGCCATTGAATGTATTCATTGCTCTAGGCCTACGAAGCCTTTTCTCCGAATAAATTATAAATAAATTATAAAAATATTAAAAAATATTCTTTTTCCCGTCAAAAGTGTCCATGAAATGTTGGTGTTTACCGGGCGTGTTGTAACTATTTATTTTGTTTTTGAAGCCATTGGCAAATTGTTTTCAAAGAGGTTGGCATCGAGCTCTTACTAAACGGAAACAGAAACAGAATCGTTTGAATTTAAGGGTCGACGTTCGCGCGAAACTTTTCCAGTCCATAGATTTTTTAAAAATTTTTACTGCAGTCAGATAATGAGTTACTTGTGTCAGAAATACCAAAAAAACAAACAAACAAACAAACAAACAAACAAAAACAAAAAAACCCTACTGTTTTTATGGCTTTATTTGTGATTTTCTTGAATTCTCCTTCGGTGAAATCTTCCAAAATTTTTACAGCACATCGCTTCCAGCATGATACGAATTTTAAACACGAAAAAATTAGGGTTTGTAAAGACAGTTTTTTAGATTTTTTCAGATTTATGTTTTTTAACGCTGCAAAAAGCCTGGTCTTACAGATTTCCCTGAAAAACAAGCTCCGACTAAAGTAAAATATTTACTACCAGTCTGCCAAATTTTACGGAATTTTACCGAAGGAAACGCAAGAAATTTTACTGTCAGTTTTGCTTTTTGCGCTCATGTTGACGTCATAAAGTATCCAAAACACTGACGTTAACCTTCGAGCGCGCGCAGATTACTTGAGCTTTCGTCCTCAGGGTACTAGGGTTTTAGGGTATTAGGGTACTAAGGTATTAGTGTATTTGGGTGTTAAGGTGTTAGGGTATAGGGGAATTATGGTATTAGGGTACTGGGGTATTAGGGTATTGGGGTGTTAGGGTATTAGGGTACAAGGGAAGTAGGATATTAGGGTTTTAGGGTGTTAGGGTATAAGGGAATTAAGGATTAGGGTATTAGGGTACTAGGGTATTAGGGTATTAGGTTGTTAGGGTAATAGGGTATTAGGGTATTATAGTATTAGGGTATAAGGGTATAAGGGCATTAGGGTTAGGGGTATTAGGGTATTAGAGTATTAGGGTATAAGGGTACTTGGGTAATAGGATATTAGTGTGTTAGGGTATTAGGGTACCAGGGCATTAGGGTACTAGGGTATTAGGATATTACGGTATTAAGGTATTAGGGTATTAGGGTGTTAGGGTAATAGGATAATAGGGTAATAGGGTGCTAGGGTATTATAGTATTAGAGTATTGAGGTACTAGGGTTAACGGTATTAGGGTATTAGGGTATTAAGATATTAGGGTACTAGGGAATTAGGGTATAAGGGTACTTGGGTATTAAGGTTTTAGGTTGTTAGGGTATTAGGGTGTTAGGATATTAGAGTACTAGGGTATTAGGGTATTATGGTATTAGGGTACTAGGGTATAAGGGTATTAGGGTATAGGGTACTAAGGAATTAGGGTATTAGGGTTTTAAGGCGTTAGGGTATTAGGGAGTTAAGGTATTAGGGTATGAGGGTACAAGGGTATTAGGGTATTAGGGTGTTAGGGTACTAGGATACTAAGGTATTATGGTATTATGGTACTAGGGTATTAGGGTATTAGGGTACTAGGGTATTAGAACGTAAAACTATAGGGAGCCACCTTAAGAGCAACCTTCGTAAATGTCCGCGTTAGCCAGACCAAAATGCTCTTATCGAAAGCAATATCTGAAAAAAAAAAAAAAAAAAAAGCTTCTTTATATTCATTTATCTTTATATTCCATAGCCTCTTAATCGAGGGCCACAGGTTCATTAGTTGTAAAACCATTTAAGTCTAACCCCTTTTTAAATAAAGTTTGTTTGATTGATTGATTGACTGACACTGATCGATTGATTGATTGAAAATTTTGAAAGAAGATAATAAAAAAATTAAATCGACAATTTTCAACGAGGCAAGTGCCTCTGTTCGCCTGTTACTAGCTATTACCCTGTTGGTTTTAGTATGCACAAGCATAACATCGTGCACGTTTTCAGCACTACTTAGTCAAAATTCACAACCTTAATCATGTTTGCGTTTTTCTGACGTGCTACCAAAGAAAAAACTGTCGTATACAATCACGAGCGATTATTTCCTTCTCGTCCAATTAAAAAAACTAATAAGCAATGAAAGACAAACTTATATTCGTATTCAGTACTATTTTTTGATCGAACCTAGATTTTCATTCATCATTGTGTCACTTCAATTACACGAGCGAGTAGCAATCCGTGTAACGCTAATATACCGGCAGAACAGATCTTCTGCTATTCTACTGATCTAATCAGTCGGAGCAGGGTGTTTTCGACCGTTCGTGTAAAATTGAGGAAAAGTCAAGAGGCTTGAAACTGTCCTCGTACAGCAATCTCCACTTCTCGTCACTTAGTTCTTTGGCTACCTCTGTTAATTTTATCTCTTGGCTCAAAACAAAAGATTCGCTGAGTTCCCTCTCCGTTCGGTGTGATACTGAAGGCTTTTCTTTGCACGGGTGCTCCTGAAGATCTGGAGCCGTGAAACTGGCCGGTTCAGCCAATACGAAGGTCTTCTGAGAAGATCAATACGAAGGTCTTCTTTTTCAGTCTTTGGAGACAATTCTGGAACTTTAGACGATACTTTGTTCATTTTCCTGCATAACCAGCGAATCTGTAATACTTTTCCAATCCTTGACTTCTTACCTCGTCCTTGATGAGTGGTCGTGTTAACTGCCATTTTGCGAATGGTGCAAGCCGATAAGTGTTAGTATCACAGGCTAACCGACCCTTTCACGGTCTAAACTTCAACTGCGATGAGAGTTGTTATTGCTAGTTGTTATTGCTCAAAAGCAATTGACGGGTTATTGTACAAAACAGRACGTAAAAACAAAACAAGCTGAACACAGCGCTACTATTGCCTTTCTCGGCGCATTCAACGTTGTTTTTAATTTTCAATTTCTCTTCACATGGCCGACATTCTCAGCTTAAATGATCTCTAATTAACGACCCCTAACGGTATAGATTCCAACAACCAAATTAAACTCGCAGGTTATTGTTGAATATATAGACATATTCACCCGTGCCAAAACCATTTCTAACCCCCAATTAGCCAAAGCTAAATTTTCTGAGCTATTTAACCTTGTGCATTCCTTCGGATGTCCCGTGGTAGTATATCGCTCAGTTTTATGAGTAACTTCTAATCAGTTTGTCTTTTTTTCAGTGATTGGTTGTTGCTATTGTTATTTTCTGTCATTAATATTAATTAGGCAGTTGTTTGTTCGAACGTTATTAGAGAACTAAATTAAGCAAACGTTGACGGCAACTGCAACGAGAACGCCACCAAACAAATGGTTTAATGAATAGCACAATAGCCGTGCACGGGCGTCATAAATCTTTGTACATTTCTTTACCGTCCCCCGCGCAAAAACAATAAGCGCTTAATGACTGGTTCCAAGGGAAACAGTGAGTTTTGTTTTCCTGAGAAACTCAGTCGAAAACAGCACTGTATCATTCTCAAATTCTTATTTCTCATTTCTTATTCCTGAATTTTTAATCGATCATTTGTCGAACATATATATTTTTACTTCATTTGTGCGCTGTCGTTGTTATCTTTCGCTACAGATAAACTGTCCGATAAATAATGGTAATAGGACTGAGTGGAGTCCAGTTCAAGTTGGTCTGTAATCTGCGTCCCAGCGTAATCATGGATTCCGTACCATGTGACCGGATCCTGCAAAGGGCCTATTAAACGACACGATGTTTTGTTACCAATAGGCCCTTTGCACGATCCGATCGCATACCAGTCCAGCCTGACTTAACTTTGTTTTGAGAGTCCCACTGTGTAACGTGCGTCCCAGCATAATTAATTCCATACCATGTGACCGTATCGTACAAAGGGCCTATTAATCATAACCATTACAATCTTCCACAAAACTAATCGTCTTTTAATGGTCACTTTTAAATGCCATATTTAAAATTATAGAGAATAGCTTTCAAAATGGCCGTTAAGTTTGTTTGAAAACAGTCAAAGGAGACTAAACCTCCACAATTTTACAAAGTCAGTCTCTTGAATTGGTTACTATAGTGACTGTAATCAATG